AGAGGCTTTTGTTGATGGGGATGAGCACATGTGCAACATAACATTCATTTTCGCTCTCCGGTTTTGTTGTTAGTGACCGTAAGCAATAACAATGACTGTACAATAAATTGCTCTTGAGCTGGGATGTTATGGATGATAAGTGTCATTCCGTATTTCACCACTAGATGCCCTCGTTGAGTTAAAGTCTCAACCTTGTCAGTCTCTCTTTGTGTGGCCACCGGTGTATAGAATACACTTGTATACAGTCACCAGAAAGTGTGTTTCTGTAGCTAAGCCCTGATCCACATTTTCTTCTGTCCAACTGCATGTAAGGCACTTCCTTCCACCATGTGTCTGCCTTTTAAACAAGGCTTCTTAAACGGCAGGAAGAAAACAGGACGGTTTCTTTGTGATCGCACAAGTATAAGAGCAAGAATAATTACTGTTTATAGGAAGACAAAGTAATGGTTTTACAGAACCACATCATATCAGGTTCATGCTTTCATGTCTAAGTTTGTTTGTTCGTTTACTTCTGTAACTAGGCCAATGTAATCTCATGCCACTTTTCACCTGCCATGACAAAGAGGTCTGTGTTTGGTCTAAGAAAGAAAAGAACCATGTTTAGGAATAAAAATGAAATGAAATCTGTTTTGTGCGGTCCAAGAGACAGAGAAGACCGTGTTTGGTCACAGAGATAGAAAGGACCGTCTTTGGGTCTGTAGCGAAACAGAGAAGACCGTGTTTGGTCACACCCCGCGGCTCTGGCCTCACTGACCTTTTGTTCTGGCTTTCGGCAGGAGGAAAGCGCGCGAAAGGCCAGCCAATGGGAGCGCAGCGTCGAGGGAGCCAGCAGCTGGGTGAGAATTTCTGCATGCCGTACAGTACTCACAAAGGGAGGGACTGTTCCCGCCACTGCAACGCAAGCCTCTGGACCGCCGCCAAGCGCACATTCCTCTCAGCTACTCCCTCAGCGGAGAGAAAAAAGAGACAGGAAGGAGTGTGTGTGTGGGTCGTTCAAGGGGGAGAAACGTTTAACTCTCGCATGTCCGAGTACAGTACTCTTTCCTGTTTTCCAACTTCTGTCCATTGTACAGTAAGCTGCCGAGACACCACGTACCTCCTGTTAGGAACCGTGGTACGTTCAACAATAAATTACTCAACAAGTAATTTTAGCGGTTTTTGAAATTGTTTTTTATTGTTTTTTTTCCCGCACCACCTAAATGGCAATGTAGCAGAGACAGGAGACAGGAAACAAAAGCCTCTCTCATTGGCTGAAATGTTGTATTCTGTCACCTACGGCTAAAATGTTCATGGGCAGTTAACATTTGGGCAAAAGTCCAGAGGAGTCTTCACTAACACATTGAATTGGTGAATTCATTGTGAATGCCAAGCGTTCCCAACTGGCAGTTAAATTAAATCACATAAATGTGCTTGTGTCATCTGACTTCGCTGGTATTTTGCTCCAGGTGTCCACGGTTCAACTTTCCGTCAGTAACTGTATGAATTAAAAGATTCTTCCTGATACAGAGAAAGGCCCGACCTCATTTTCGTTATCTAAACTGTGCAAGTTGGAAGCTGTCGTTATCCTTGCCCCTCCCCCACAATTCATTTCCAGTTGAAGTACGATGGCGCACCCTCGCCCCAAACGCCCCCATGGCTTCATCCTGGATAAGGGAGCACGTGAGGTTTCGGCAGGTGTGGAAGTGAGGGGGCCAAGGGGGGATGGGCGTGCGTAGGACGGGGGGCCCCATTCAGCAGAAGACAGGTGATCACGAGCCGAGCAGGCCTTTTATCTGTACCTCTGTGATTTCACTGAAGAATGCCGCTCTCCCTCCCTCCCTCCCTCCCTTCCTCAGCCTCACACACTTTCACCTGAGGAAGACGTTTTAAGTGGGATGTTTTCATCTGATAAAAGCAGGAGTGAAACAAAAGGTGTAGTCTCTCACATCTTACCCCCAGGAAGAGTGAATTCCACAGCAGAGACCCACGGGCGTTTGTCATTTGGAAGTTACTGTAAAACATGTACAGTCAACTCAAGAGTCACTGCCGCTCCTGCTCAGGATGAGTTAATATTTTGCCTTGCAAAATTGACACAAAAAACTAGTTCTCTGCCATATTCTTTTTTAAATTTTTTTTTTTTTTTTAAAAAGTCATGCTTATTAAAATACATTCATTTCAATGACCTTTTTTTGTAATTTATGAAAAATGGACATTAAAATTATTGGAACCCTCTGTTGTAAAGGCTTCGATATTAGTTTTTGGTCGAATTGCACTTCCATGCAATAAAGCTGCTACAACAGCAACCCATATAGATCCTCAGACTCATCATGTTTCCGTTGGAGAGGCTTTTCAAAAAAGAATGACTCTTGCATTTACATACATCTCTCTGTAATTCTCGGCTGGTAATGAAATTGACATTGATATTTTTTATTCAGACATTGTGTGAGCTACTTCAGTCACTGAGTTAGTGGATGTTTATGATCATATGGGAGAGCAAATATAACTTTCACCTATAACCGTCACCCTGCCACTTCTGTGTAGCATAGAAATACTTTTAAAGTAAGGCTTCGTCTGGCTGATTTCATATTTTTGTTAATCTTGCACGGCCGATAAGCTCATCTTTAACGGGGGTGCCAGTAACTCTGGAGTTGTACACCAGTGGTGTGACGGTGTGACAATGACTGCCCGTTTTGTGTTACTGTAAAATGAGTAGGTGTCATATATAACCATGGATACCAATAGTGTGACAGCGTACCAGTGGATTCCAGTTGTGTGATAATGTAAATACAGCTGTCAACTGTGTAACATTGTAACCATGGTGTCCAGGAGTGTGACGGTGTAACTGTGGATTCCAGTTGTATGACTGTATAACCATGGATTGGATTCCTTTTTTGACAGAACATGTGCTGGCTGTATGACTGTGTGTCTTCAGGTTAAATGAGCTGCTCATGTGTGTGTGTGTATGTGTGCGTGTATGTGTGTATGTGCAGCCCTCCCCCAGGGCCAATCAGAAACATAGCTCCAAATTTAAAGGTATATTTTGACATTAACCCTTACCTGTAACCCCCTGATCTCTGTGTGTCTAAATATATCTCTCATCTACTGTGATATTTATGTAGCTGCAGTACTGAGGTGTATTTCTGACTGTAATAATCCTCATCTAGACAGGATTGCTGGTCACTCTGTGTATATTTCGCACTCAGCGATATACATTGTAGTATATTACATTTCTGTAAGGGGTCTGGACTCTCTGTGTGGGGTACAGTGTGGATTTAGTTTTGGCTGGAGGGGGTTAAGATGACCCAGACAGGGGTGTTTGGGGGGTGCGGGAGCTGGAAGTGATGGGGATAGCTCTCCCGGGACACGCTGAACTCCAGCTGGCTGTTGCCGCGACGGGGGTGGTCGTTGCCCGGCGCTTCCTCCTTCGGGCCTTGGCAACACGACCCCGTCCGTCCTTTACCAGGAAACTCATCTGACTAAGGAAACCTCAGACGCCCGCCCCCCCTGCTCCTTCCCCCTCCCCTCCGGCCTCACGCCTGCGGTCCACCGGCGTGGGGGCCTCTCCTCATGAGTCCGCGATTAGCGGCCACTTCCTCATACTCCGACTGACAACCGCGATGCGGAACACTGCCCTGCACACACCGCAGTTTCATCAAACCCCAGTTTACACTTTCACTTTTTGTTATCATAGTTAATATTTTTAACATTACTCATCTGTCTTTATAATGGGAATCTGCACATTACATTGCGACTGGACATTCACTGACCCTGTTCAGGGTAAGAACCTTAATAACTTAATACTTCTCCACTGTAGCACTTGATTCAAAACCGTAGTCTATTGATTACATACCCCATAAATGTACATCGCTACCACAACAACAGGAAATTCACTGCTACAGTTTCTGATATTGGAAAAATAATAATTAAAGAGGTACAGTTTTCTTATAAAAATTGATGTTGTGGTCTACTGTCAGAAATAGATAGGGCAACACAAAAAGCACAGCGCTCTGATATGACCAGAAGTCTATGATGGTGGATACAGTTATATCCTCCCTGACTGGCACAGCCTCAGCTATAATTTATTGGTTTATGTTTCGGGAGGAAGCTCAGAGTCATGAGTCAGTGATACTGCTTCTACATGACTAAATCAACTGATATCTAACGGAAACATTTTTGATACATACCCACGCTCTCGCGTAGTCGCGCTCTTACTGTGCTTTGTAAGTCATGCAAAACTTTACCATGCAAAATTGTACCATTAAACCTTACAGACAGACATAAATGTCGTGCGCAATCTATACACAAGAAATAAAACACATTGCGCGATTTCGAACAGCTTCACTCCCCGAATGAGGTATGCCATTCGTTACAGGGAGTAAGAGAAGAGTTTTAAAAATGGTTGGCTAGCTCATTCGCTCTATATTTTATGAGTTTTTTTTTTTTTTTTTATTGAGGTAACTGCAAGGTTATGTTTCATAAAATATGCATGTAGATTAATACAAGCACTTTCAAGCACAATGACAATATTTTGCTTTCCATTACTGGCTTTTGTTGATGTCCAATTACTGTGATCTAGCTCCGACTAGCTCTCTTTGTTACTATTTTCTAACAATTCTAGGAGAAACCATGGCACTAATTGTTTACCTTGGTGTTTGCTTGGGGTTACTACAGCCTTGTGTAAAATCCTTTGAAGTCGAAATGCTTTTGCTTCTTCATGTCATAAATGCAATTATGAGGTATATGTTTTATTACCCATGAGAGGAATTATTGTGTTGGATCTTACAGCTAATTTGCAGTCGCACATATCTGTTGCCATAATAAGTGCCATTAAATTTGTGTGGATTGTTTGATTGATAAAAAGACTGATCTTAACAGATGGCTTCAGTTGTAAGCATTTAGCAGACTCTCACCCAGAGTGACTTACAAAGTTTAGCCTTTGTTCTTATCCTGTCCATATCCAGAGCTATATATTTACTGAAGCAATCTTAGGTTAAGAACATTGCTGAAGGATATGACAGTAGTACTGTAGGTGGGAACTGAACCTACAACCTTTGCATTACAAATGCAACGCCTTAACCATTATACTACACTGAAAATAGCATCTGGTGTTGTGGAAGTGCCGTTTAGTCTTTGAGGTCTGCAGTAATCTACATTTCTGTTTTTGATTTGTCCCTCGGCCAGTTTTTGGTGACCTAACCAGACAATAGTGACCCTGACCTACATGCTATAAACCTCCTCCTGTATTTGCCAAAACGCCCGCAGGTCAGACATTCCAACAATCCACAGATAGCGCTGCCAATGTTTCTCCCCATCTGCTCATACAGTGACAGTATCACTCATTCACTTCCAACGATAGTGACTCATCCACTGACAAACAGAGCAAGAAATTATGACCTGCGGCCCGCTCTGATGTCAAAATGACCAGTGAGTCACAGGTAACACGTAACACGTCGAGGGGGGCATTCACGGAGACCCCTCCACAGTACCCACATTGTTTCTGCGGTTACTGGTCTCCGAATTACAGAGCAGTTGGGGGGGGGGGCAGTTGGCATGCCAGCCGCCTAAACAAGGCCGCACAGAGAGTGCCAGACTGTGGTGGTGAAGCGCGGCATATAAAAGAAGAGCCGGCGGTGTTTGAGGAACAATATCGGAGAGTTAAACATTAATGCTCTCTCTCTCGTTCTCTTTCTCAGAGCATGCCGGCCGGCCTTGTGAACGTCCTTGACGCTCACGGTTCTCCCCAAATGCCTGTTCAGCTCTCCTGACTTATCTCTGATCACAGAAACCTGAGCATGTGTGTAAGAGATCAGGTACAGAGCCAATGGAAGAGCAGTGATACGGAGAATACAGACAGATTTAAAAGTGATGTTTAAACAGAAATATCCCCCTGCGCTCAATACAACTCCTGCTGTTACAATTTAGTGAGCTACTTGGGATGATCTCTACCAGTCTGTAGTAATGACTTCCGGAGGCATTGAAGTTCATGACACAGAAATATGAAGTCACTACCTTCAGGCGCACTGTCAATGTATGCATGCTATTGAAATGACTTTTTCCACATTAACAAATAACTATTTATTGCACCTATGATACCACAGTCAATTCATAAACTCAATAACCCTGATTGTTAACCGGCACTAATAAGACCTTTTAGCGCACATACATGAGAATTCCAGAGGAGCTTTCTCCAGGCTGTGATGGCGCTTGAAGTTGTGCGTCATAATGAATACACTCACAACGTAGATGCATAAACAATGCAAGCTTTTATTTGAATATAACCCAAATGAATTGGGAGCCATTCACTTATTTTTTTCAATGCCACAACAAAGTCACATTTTTATGAGTCATGACCTTTACAACCTCTTCTATGTCTACTCAGCTTAGCCCCCACGCCCCCTGCAGGCTGCAGAGTGGCATAGCACGTTACATGCGATTGGGTGGGTTCCCCTCTGGTCAGGGTCACCTGGGTGTTTGAACTGACGGCACCTTCGGCCTACTTACGACGCGCTGGACTGTGTAGCGAAGGCTGGACGATGTGTTCCGTGAGCACGCGGATCGAATGGCCAGGAGTCTGGGTGAGTAAACAGAGATATTCCGTCGCCGACGTCTTCCTCGCCAAGCATATCTGGTGTCCCTTTCACTACCTCTGAGCCAGACTGACTCAATGTTTCGCTTTACGGTTTCGCTCGCCTCATACCTTTTCCTCAAATGAGAGAGAGATAAAAGATACATGAAGCTGTGAATGAGTGAGTGGGTGGATGAGAGTGTTTGTGTGTGTGTGTGTGTGTGTGTGGGGGTGTGTTTAGGTGTGTGTGTGAGTCAGTGAACGAGTGAGTGAGTGTGTGAGAGAAAATGTGATGCGAGTGAGTAAGTGTGTGTGTGTGGTAGTGAGTGAGTGTGCTTGGGGGTGTGCGTGTGGGTGTGCGAGCATGCATGAGTGTGTGAGTGTGTGTATGTGTGTGCTCCTCAGTGAATGAATGAGTCAGCGAGAGAAAATGTGCGTGAATGACTGTGTGTATGTGAGTGTGTGCATGTGTAACTCAGTGAGTGTGTGTCGGAGAAAATATGCGTGATTGAGTGACTGGCGAGAGTGTGTGTGTGTGTGTGTGTGTGTGAGTGAAGGGTTCCCTTCTACATTTCCTCAGTGTGTAAAACACACAGGCCTAGGGCATGATTTACAGCACCTAGAACATCAGATACCCAGAGTCCACCAGCCAGGTTTCAAGTAAGCTGAAATCCCATCTCACCCTGCTCTGAACTTCTGCTCTGACCTCCTTACAACTCTCCAAAAACATATGTCCCCTTTCCAATGTCCTCTCCTTCTCTGAAAGTGGAACTTGACCTAACCAGTAATAAGTCATTCACAAGAGGTGCTGCACAGGTAGCCAGAAGTGCTAAGGGTCACCCATGTCCATGATGAGTTCATTCGTGCCAGTCTGAGATTCTCCAAACTCTTGTCTAAATAAGACAGAGGTCAGAGTCACATGACACATTCCAACACTGCTCCACGCATAGTTTTTTTGGCCTTCGGCGGCCATTTTGTCTTGCTGTCTTGTACTCAAAATGCAATTACACAGTTCTTTCACATTCTGTCCCCTTGGTTTTTATTTGGCTTCCTTATTAAATAATTAGTGATTGAATTAGATGTGAAGATGGCACAGAACTATTAGAGTATGAGGCTCAACAAAGAAAGCTGTGTGTTCTATACATTTTTTAATCTACTTTCCACTGGTAGGTGGAGCTACCAGTACTGAGGGGAGGAAAAATTAGCTCTGTAATGTTCTTTCATCGAGTGTTCACCCCATTACTGGTACAGCCCAGCGTAGATTCAAAATGTCAACATTTATATTTCATTGTCCATCAAAGACGGTTGTATTTCTCCCCAATTCAGTACAGACGATGTACAAACTGAGCACTGCAATGGAAACAGTGAGCAGTAACATGCTACGAGAGGACCTGAATTCGGAGCTTCAGTCAGTTAATGCTAATGGTACGCCTTTCTAGTCTCATTTCTCTGAAATCACATTTTATAGAGATTCTTAATCATTTAAGTCATACATCACCACATCACCAATCCAAAGTCATAACTCACTGAGTGCTCTTTATGTGCAGTCAGTAGCTTCTTTGCTAAACTGTTTGTTTTGTATGTGTCAGTAGCTAACTATTGCATAATTGTACTGTAGTCAACCGCACTGTTGGGTGTTATAGTGCTTCTATCTGTTGTCCTAACAATAAAATGGGATTTTATAGACGTGTCAACTTTCCTTTTCTTTTTATTGACTACATAAGGACTATAGATATGAGTTTTGTCACAATGTGATCCAAGCCATCATCAAAAATGTATTTATTTCTGCTTGCTGACAGACCAGGCATAGTGTTTGCGTTCTGTTCAATAACATTCAATGACTTTTCAATGAAACAGAATGTCTGCGAAAACATCTTGTGTTCTTTGTTTGTACCCTTGTCCTATATTGAATGCTTGCGTTTATTATTATTTTGAAATGGCCTAGCTAAGCTAACTAACCCCTAACTGCTCCCACCCTTCGACTGGCCTCTACAGGGAACTGATGCACTGATATGGGTCAGTTCACGGAAAAGAGAAGAAACAGGAGTGTTTAGCCTGAGAGAGTTTAGCCCCCCCACATGCGTAAGTACTCCACTTTTCTCACCAGGTGACAGCTATTTCAGGCCTGGTTGGGAGATAAATCACCTGCTATCCCAGATTCCCTATCACGGCGCTGAAAGGTTCGCACCGAGGGGCCAAGGCTTCAAAGGGCGAGGCCGCGGAGGGGCAGTGGATAATCGGAAGGGGGGGTGCGGGGGTTTGGTAACGGGGGCGACTCAGGGCCGTGATGTTTACCTGTGTCTAATCATACCGATGAATCTGGATTAGGGGCCGCAGTGTTGAACAAGTGGTATTGGCAGCTGTTGTGATCTAGCGTCGCGTTGATTTCTACAAGCGAGGACGCCAAAGCGGAAACCGCGGACAGATCTCTGTCAGGAATGTGACATTTAAGATACCCACAGTGCTGGATTCTCACTCTTGCAGATCAGAGGAAGCATGTTGGTTATTTTCTCTTTTTTTTAAACTGCGGTAAGGATCAACCTCCATCGATCCACACTGCAGCAACATTGTGTATGTGTGTGTGTGTGTGTGTGTGTGTGTGTGCATGTGTGGGTGTGTGCACGTATGTGTGTGGGTGCATTCACCTATGTCTGCGCGTATATGTAAGTATGTACATATATGTGTGTGTGTGTGTACGTATGTGCACATATGCGTGTATGTGTGTGTGTGTGTGTGTGTGTGTGTGTGTGTGTGCATGTGTGTGTGTGGGTGCATTCACCTGTGTCTGCGCATATATGTAAGTATATACATATAACCTGTGTCTGCGCATATATGTAAGTATATACATATGTGTGTGTGTGTGTGTGTGTGTGTGTGTGTGTACGTATGTGCACATATGTGTGTATGTGTGTGTGTGTTCTTTGTGTGTTGATCCTTGTCTGTGAGTCTGAACATCACACTAAGGCCCTGGAAGTTCTTGTCCTCCTTTCACACAGGTGAGTCAGAGGACTCTCCTTCCAAAGCAAACAGAGGCAGCTGGCAGATCACCACAGCACAGAAAAACGGACCAGCCCCACACTGGTGAGTCACTGCCATCACCACACCTACATCCACATCCTGCAGTCCCACAATACTCACAACGAGAGCGCCAAGCCGTGGAACTGACAAACCGCCAAACCGCCTCGGCCAATCCACCTAAAATACAACCATCGAACATCTGTCTTGATATTTGTCCCGTTTAACCGAGTCAAAGTTGAATTGTAAATGATTATTTTCCTTACGCAGCGAGGTGACTTAGCATTGTGCAATTTGTGAACTTGCAAAACTGTGTTTTTGAAGAAAATGCATCGATTTCTAAGTAAAAACAGGCCTACTTCCCTGTTGATCCTACGCCCAGGTCTTTCTGACACCAGAACAGAGCCCAGAGCTGAGCCAATGGGTCAACACTCAACATAGCCCTTCTGTGGTGTCTGTAACCAATACAGACACAGAAGTTCATTCTTTATCTTAGTTCAAATGGATTTAA